CAATTGATCCATATTTCTATTTATTTTTTCTAAATGAGGAGTCTCACATTTCTATTTATTTCTCTGAACGAAAAGCTGCAAAATTCTTTTCTTTTTCTTCAAAATTCTGAATCTGCCATTTCTATTTATTTCACAAAATTCTGAATCTCACATCTAAATTTTTTTTCTCAGAATGAAAAGTTGCACATTTCTATTTCTCAGACTAGGAAATCTTACATTTTTATTTATATATTTACATTTCTGTTTATTTATCAAAATTAAGTCTCACAATTAATTTTTTTTTCTCAGATTATGACTTACATTTCTGTTATTTGTTAGAATGAAGAGCAGCACATTTCTATTTTCTTCTTAGAATTAGGAACCTCATATTTCTATTGAATTCTCTGAGTTGACCCTCACATTTCACTTTCTTTTTCAAAACGAATAGCCCACTTCTATTTATTTTTCTGAATGAAGAGGTGCGAAATTCTATTTATTTTTCAGAATTTTGAGTCTCCCATTTGTTTTTCTCAGAATGAAGTCGCACATTTCTATACAATTATCAGAATTGAGCCTCACATTTCTATTTTTATTTTCAGAATATGAGTCTGACATTTTTATTTAATTCTCTGAATGAAGCCTCACACATCTCTATTTATTTCTCAGAATGAAGAGTCTGGCATTTAAAAGTTTTCTCACAATGAAGAGAGGCACATTTCTATTTATTTCTTAAAATTGGGAACCTCACATTTCTATTTAATTCTTTCAATTGAACCACATTTCTATTTATTTTTTCTAAACAAGTAGTCTCACATTTCTATTTATTTCTCTGAACGAAAAGCTGCAAAATTCTTTTCTTTTTCTTCAAAATTCTGAATCTCCCATTTCTATTTATTTCTCAGAATGAAGCATCACACATTTCTATTTATTTCTCAAAATTGAGTCTTACATTTAATTTTTTTTCTCAGAATAAGAGTCTTGCATATTTTTTTCAGAATTAAGAGTCTCACATTTCTATTTTTTGTCTCAGAATGAAGCATCGCACATTTCTATTTATTTCTTAAAATTGGAAACCTCACATTTCTATTTAATTCTCTGAACTGGCCGTCACATTTCTATTTATTTTTTAAACAAAGAGTCTCACATTTCTATTTCTTCTCAGAATGAAGACTCACACTTCTATTTCTCAGAAATACGAGTCTCACATTTCTCATGTGTTTTCCTTCACATTTCAGTCTTACATTTCTATTTTATCTCTCATAATTCTTCCACATTTCTATGGTATCTTAAAACTCTCTGTTTACATCTCGCACTTCAGTATTCTGCGAGGTATTTGAAAGAAATTAGTTTAGACTTTTTCTCAACCCAGATTAACAAGCCTGAATCATTAGAAACATGCATCATTTCTCAATAATGAACTCCGGCTTGCCTCAGAATCCTGCGCCTCACCTTGTCGTCCTGTGGGGGATTGTGGGAAATGTGGTCCGAGGTGTCTTTGGAATGCAGAGGGGAGGGTTCGTCATCTTCCACCTCCTCCAGGACCACGATACACACTCGACTCATGCGCTCCGACCGCATGGCTGACTCTCACACACATACAAAACAACCCCGACGTGCGCACGAGTGTGTGTGTGTGTTTGTTATTCCCTCTCGGTCTTCATGTCTGCTGGCTGTGTGTTCCGGCAGTAAATCCCTCCGCAGCTTTCATTCCTCAATGCAGGAACATCAGCAGTGCTGCAGTGAGGAGATGCACGCAGCGTACACACTCACACACACACATACACACATACTCACACACACACACACACTCGCTCTGTGATCTGAGAGGACAATAGTGTGTGAGCTCCAGCCTGCTGAAACCTGCACTTTACACACACACACGCACACACGCAGATCCAACCCCCACTGCAATAACACGCCAACCCTACTGCAGCAGAGAGAGAGAGAGAGAGAGAGAGAGAGAGGGAGAGAGAGAGAGAGTGAGAGTGAGGGAGACTGAGAGAGAACAGACTTACTCTGAATTCTAGAATGTTGTTACATATACTGTTTATTATTATTATTACTATTATTATTATTACTATTATTATTATCGTTATTATTATTTATCCTAAAATGTTGATTATTTAATATATTGTTTATTATTATTATTATTATTATTATTATTATTATTATTATTATTATTTATTTGTTTATTTATTTGTTCATTTATTATTATTATTATTATTTATTTATTTATGTGTTCATTTATTATTATTATTATTATTTATTTATTTATGTGTTCATTTATTATTATTATTATTATTATTATTTATTTATTTATTTGTTCATTTATTATTATTATTATTATTATTTATTTATTTGTTCATTTATTATTATTATTATTATTATTATTATTATTATTGTTATTTATTTATTTATTTGTTCATTTATTATTATTGTTATTTATTTATTTATTTGTTCATTTATTATTAT